GGGTTCAGTGTTCTGCAGCAAAAGGGCAGTTTGATTGATGAGCACCAGTAACCCTCAATTTTAGGTGCAAAACCCCTCTAGTTTATGTAGAAGGTAACCAGCTCTCTTGTTTGGGGAAGAGAGACTGTGTCGTAGGAGGAGAATTTCTTATAACTGTGCCTTCTGGAAAAGTTTAACGCACTGAGACTTTTCCCGTAACTATTTCAGATGTTTGAGGCTGTTGCGTGCTGAGGCTGTGGTTTGAGAAGGTGGCTTTTACTATTGCTGTAAATGTCCTGCCCCTGTAACTACACGCTTGGTTTAGAGATCTGTAACCAGAGTCAACTCCCCGATCATTTTGCACCGTGGCACCACAAATCATCATTTTTTGGCACAGGAGAAGAACAAATGGCCGTGGATGGGAGCTCAGCAGCTCTCCAAGTTGGTACTGCTGTGAAATTTCCTCTTGCTTCGAACTGTGGCCAGTACTTTGTTTATTCGGTGAGATTTGGATGGCTGTGGTTCTTTCTCCTTCAGCGGGGAGACAACGTGTGTGCTCACCACCCGTCCCAGCCGGCGAACCTGTCTCTTTTCTGCTCGGAGTTGGCAGCAGGGTGCACTTGGGAGGATATTTCGGTGTCTTTTCAGCCCCTTCCAGCACAACCCAAGTGAGATCTTGTGGAGTCACTGTGGGTGCTGCGTATCCTCACAAAGTTATTTTTGCTTCCTGTGGCTTCCATGCAAGGGTTTTGTCTACCAGATTTTGAATGCCTGCTTTCTCTTTTTTTTGCCATAGACATATATTTCAAAGGACCTTTTACTTCTTCTTTTTTGAATTTAATTATCTGGCTTCTAGGCCTTTGTGGAAAAGCTGTTTGTGGGGCTGGTGGTGGAGAGCTGCACCTTTTGAGAGGCAGCAAGTTGTTCAAAAGTGGTTTTTGCCCATTGTGTACAATAGGTATACATGTAGCCATATATATACACGTATATGTATATACCTATATACATACCACGTATACCATATATATGCATATATATGGTAGCAGGGTATATATACATCACTTGTGTAGAAGTTTACCTGGTGCCTTCTTTAAAGGGCTCTGAAGGCACACACATTCTGGTTTATCAAAGAAACTGATAATCCCAGAGAGCGTATTAAGTTTGTTTAGCAAGATTAAAGATGGTCTTCTAGTGCTACTGCATAAACAAGTGAGTCTTCTGTCATAAATTCTGCTGTGTCTTTAATGCTTAAATCCGAATTGATAATGGCAGTTATAGAAAACCTGCGGAACGGGATTGCTTTCCATCTGCAGTCATGTGCCCTGGGTGTAGGTACAGTATTTAGCTCCTGTGCTGGTGCTTAAAGGCAGGTTTCCACTAATAGTCACTACCTTTAGTCAAAGTTACCCCTAACTCAAAAGCAGAGGAGGATGAGTTGGCATTATCCACTCTGCTGAGATCAATAGTGGGGGAGCAGTGGGGAACTACTTGAAAGTCCCAAGCCTTTCCATGGAGGAAGGATTCCCTCTCCTGGAAGCCCTTTAGCAAGCACAAATCGTTGATCTCGGCTGGGTTTCTTGGGCTTTTTCTGTGCTATACAAAGGTTTCAATCAACAGGTATAGGATTTTAGTCACAAAGGTGTCTTCGTTCACATCAGTTTGAGAGGGAAAAGTCTCATGTAAAAAGTAATTGAAATTAAAAGCTCTGCTCTTTGTGTCCACCAAGATCATCTCTCTGGAGACAAGTTTTTAGTGTTTCCTTACCGTGGTTGCAAATGAGAAGGTTTTCATAATATTTCAGGTTGTTACTGTCTCTTACAAAGAAACAGAATGCACCCAGCTGAGAAAAGTACCTTAATACTTCTTTTCAGGAACTAACAGGGGGCTTAGATTCTTTCTGTAAAATCACCCTTTTCAGTGTTAATAGTGAAGAGAGAAGAGTTTGTTCACATCGTCACCATCCACCCCACTGCACAGCAGAGCCGTGAATGAAAAATGCTTTCAGTGTTCTCAGAACAGTTCGTTTCTGCTGTGAAATCTTCCTTGGTGATGCTGTGGGCTCATTACAGCCCTGTTTCAGTGAGTTTTATTGAGGCCATCTCCTGAAAATCCCGTAAGGATGCTGCAGTGTGGCTGCGCCCCCTCGCAGCCGTGGGCCTGTCCCGCTGCCTCGGACTGATGGGACTGGGAGCTGGGAAGGAGGTAACAGTAAATACAGCCACTGTTATCCAACATTAGTGCTGCTATTTGCAGAGTAGGTAAGAAATAAAGTATTTTCTCCCAAAGCTTTCTCTTGTGGCTTGGGTGTTTGGAGTTCCTTGGGGCTGCTGGAGGGCAGCATGTACAGGCCGGGCCTGCAGATGCTGCTTGGACCAAAGAGCTTGAACTGATTCTCCCTTCATGGGAGCTCTGTGGTGAATTTTTTTTTCCTTGGTAATAGCTTAATTAGTTTGGTTAGATAAGCATACATTGCAGCAAACATCATCTGGGGTAGGTGTTAAGATGTTCCTTAGAATAAAAAGATGGGTTTAAACATGGAAAAATCTGTTGTGCTCTGCTATCTCTGCACTACAGAGTTCCAGTGAGTGACGCTGCTTGTATTGAGGCAGTTAGACCCTTTAATAAATTGATTAAACTTTGCATGAAGTAGTTTGATTCCCTCCTGCTTCCTTGTTAGAGTGTATATTTTGACTATTTGCTCCCAGTTCAGTGAACAAAAATTGGAATTGCTGAAGGTGATATTGAGGAAAAGATGGAATAAAGTCAGGCTTTGGCTATTTTTTTTCCCCCTGGTTGTGGGTAAAGCTGCAAATACTGGGAAGGCATCCCTGGAGCAGATGGTGCTGGCACAGATCCTCCTCGGGATGGAATTCGAGTTCCTTTCCCAGAGCCAGATCCTCGCGGTCGGCCGGGGCGCAGCGCTGCGGCAGAGCATGACTTGGTGCTTCCCGCGCCGCTGAACTCTGATGGCATTTCTAGGCCCGGTTTAAAAATAGCAGAAGTATTCTCAGTACGGTTGCTTTTGAATACAGGTTTGGGGATGATTTCTGTCTGCGTCCCACTTCTCCACAGTCACTTTTCTTTTTCTTGCAACTTTTTGGAGCAGTGTTTTTCTTCTGTTATTTGGAGGAAACCTCTGACAAATGGATGCCCTGAGCTTATCAGCTCCTGTGGGTTGTCTCAGGGATGGGAGATGCTGTTTCCTCTTTTTGTATTTTAGCAAAACATTTGTGTAGTAAATTGTTCTTGTGGGTATAGATCAATTGTTTCTTATCTTAAAATGCTGACCCTGAAGCATAGCAACTTTTTTTTCTGTGTGGCAGTGCTGGAAATCTCTTCAGGCAGGGAGGGCCACCCTGAGAATGGGAGAGATTGGTTAAAAGGCCTTTTTGTTTTAAGACTGCAACAATTTCTGTAGGAAATGCAGTTGTTAAAAGTATCTGTCGGGGTGAAAGGAGTGAAAATGGTAGTTTTTTTCTCAGTTGGTTTTGCTCTGGGGAAATTGTGCAATATTGGGGTTTATAGTTTGATTTTATTATGGAGTTTGCCTTGTGTCTCTGGCTTGGGAAGAGCTCTTCGGACATTGCTGTTCTTTTAGGAGTGAGGAGACACCAGGCAGATGCTAGGGGATAGGACGAGCATGTGAGAAACTGCGATTTTATGCATGAAATTCCTTTAAAGACTGCATTGGGGAAGGGTTTAGACATGTGGTCCATTCTTTTGAAACAAATTTTACATAAAAGTTACTCTGAAAAATTCTAAAATTTTTTATTTTCTGAAATTTTGAGTCAAAAACTGCCTTTGAAATGAAAAGAATTCTAAAGGAGACCTTGGTGCCCTGGGTGTTGTCTGTCCAAATCAGCATGAGATGGGTTTTTTTAGTTGTAGGCAGGCGAGAGTATCTGCTGTCTCTGTGGAGAAGTGTTTTGTACCATGCTCACTGGTTAAAATGCCAATACAGCAATATTTCTCTGTTTTGTTTTTTCCCTAACACAAAGAGTACTTTTAGTACCATCTGGAATAATTCGTGGCTAGTTCAAAATCAATTTGAATGCAAATGTACTTTGCCTGTGATTTAGAAGTCAAATTTGATATGACATTGCTGCGCCTTTTATTCCTTAGAAGCCCTGCAGTGCCCTCTCGTGATGGCTTGACCATACTGTACGTGCTGTCGCTGCTTTTCTGACGTGGAGGATGTCTTCAGAGCTGTGTTTGCAACTGAAATGCCGTTAAAAATTTTGTTTGCGTTATAACTTTCCAGCGTAACCTTACGAAGGTCCATTTTAAAAATTGTGATTTCATCCTGAATTGTTTTGGATCTTTTTTTCCCCTGCAAATTTTGAAGTAAATTGAGCGACTTTGCTTTTCACATTGAAAGATGTTTTGAAATTGTGCATCTACAAGAATTGTCTGACACTTTTTGTCGATGTACTTTGCAACTGCAATCAAACTGTAATGAAGCAACATTTAAAAAAATAATTTTATGATTTTGAATGTAGCCTAGCACATGAAAAAACAAGAAATAATATCTAATATGTTGGTCAAAACTGTTGTTTTTGTAACTGAAAATAGAAAAGGGTGAAGCAGTCTGGTGGACACCTTTGGGGCCAGCTATTTCCGTGCCCACTGACTGGATACTGAGGGTAGTGAGTAGTTTGTTGTTCGTGACCACCATCCATGGATGAGTGGAGGGGGCGATGTCAGGTCTATGATCTATATTTAGGCCCTATCCGGTCTCTCGGATGATATCGGCATCAGGAGTTCCCCGATACTTGACCCTTCTTGAGGCCCTTCTGACAAATAGACTTGCGTGTGTTTTTTGGTCAGAAGCTCCTCATACGTGTGTTAGAGGATAGCACTTACAAATACTCTTCTGGGGGAATAGAGGAGAGAAATGAAAAATGTGCCTTTTTGTGAAATTCATTAAAGCACGTAGAAAGAAAACAAAGGTTTTTAACCAATGTTTTTTTTTTTTCCTGCCTCTCTTCTTTCTTTCTCCTTTTTGTTTCCCCTCCTCAGGCGCCGCCGCTTTAGAATGGGGTCGGAAAACCCGAGTCCGCCGAACCCCAGCTGCAAGATTATGACCTTTCGTCCCACCCTCGAGGAGTTTCGAGACTTTGGAAAATACATTGCCTACATGGAGTCGCAAGGAGCTCACCGGGCAGGGCTTGCCAAGGTGAGTCACCCTCGCTTGGGCAGCAGAAGGCTTTCCGAAGGCTGCCTTCCTGAGGATCTGTGTGGTGCTATGTCTGTGAAGTTGTATCGCTCAGAGTTTGCTTTCCTGTAGGCAAGCAGAGTGTGTTTTCACAAATGGCACTTGCAATCTCTGTTGTTTCCATTACTGAGAGAGGAAAGGCAGAGGACTTATAGGCCTTTGGTAAGAGTGAAAGGTGTTCGTTTGCAGGAGGTCTTCTCCTGATCCCGAACAAAGATGCTCCCAGCCCTTGCAGAGATGGGGTGAGGATGTTTCCGTGGCCTCGCTGTGTTGCTGAGGGCACAGACAGTGGTAGCCATGGTCCTCAAGGGCTGGAGGTGGGAGGTTTTCAGCTCCCCCAGAATACAGTCAAGATTTTGAAGGCTGCTTAGGTTTGGATGGAGAAGAGAGCCTAGCCATACCTGTACAAATGGGTGCAGACATTTCCCTCTTACCTTTTTAATGTTCTGGGCTACCACCTTAGGCTCACTTCACTCCAGACCTGTAAACATGTCCTGTAGGCGATTCCCAAAATACCTGAAAGTCTTTTTGACCTTTAGGAAGCAGGTCTCCAGCCAGCTCTAAAACATCTCTCTGCTTCCTTCCCATCTGCAGCTTTGCACTGAAACTGATGAAACATTATGAGAACTCTTCGTGTGAAACTGCCACATTCCAGGGCTTGACGTACAGCTTGGAAAAAATCAGGACTAACTGATTAGAAAGAGTATTTCTGTGGCCGTGTCATGTTGTGCCATAGACTGAGAGAGATCATTTGTTCTGACAAGGTAGTTGTTAGGTATGGTATTTAGCAGAACTTAATAAAGCACAGCAGAGAAATAAAGCTGTTAGGCATGAAATAATTCTGATTTCTTCTAAACCATAAGTCAATTACTGTTTTTATTACAGTTCTAAATAGAGCTGAGTATTGATAAAAAGCTCTCTGTGGAATGTTTCCTTGTCCACTCAAGTGTGCTAGCAATTACAGGCCCCGAGTCTGCCAGGGTAGATTATTTTAATAAAGGTTGTTGGTGAATTCCAGATGTTGTAAAGAAATTACTCTACTTGTAGGGCTACAGCTGAGCATTTCAAGTGAATTTTTGTGTGTCTCTATTGCAGCTGCAGTTCAGAGCCTTGTAATGGAAGCAGAGCATCACATCCTGTAGAAACTTGCCCATGAAAATCAGTGACTTGTCCTCCAGTTCCCGTAACTTTTTTTGGTTAGTCTTACACCAAATGAAATTGCAGATATTTTACTTTTTCATCCCACATGCCCACTGAATGTCCTCCTGATTGTTCTCTGATCCTGAGCCTAGAATTATTGGCAGCTCTTCTGTTTAAAATTACAGCTTTTTCTTTTGGATCCAGCACTGCTTTGCAGCAGGCTTTTTTGCGCAGCCTCCAAGAGCAAGGAAAGAGTTCTGGAAATTTTCCCTGTGTTTTTTTTTTTGTTCTGCTCTAACCCTTACCCTCTTTCATTTAAGAAGTCGATCCCCGATGTGTCACCTACGAATACAGAAACATCAGTAGCATTAACGCAACAGGATTTTGAGCCTTCCTAGTTAAAAAAAGAAACAAAACCAAAACCAAACAAATCAACAAAACAGAAAATGTGCTGGTTATTTGAGATGCTGCTGTTACCTGATAACCTGAAGGATGAAATCCCTTCCACTGAAACAGGTTTTTCTGCAGTAGAAGTTGTGTTTGCCTGTTGTGAACGTGACATGGTTTGATTTCATTGTTTTGTTTTTTTTCCAATTCAGGTGATTCCTCCCAAGGAATGGAAGCCACGAAAAACCTATGATGACATAGATGACATGGTTATCCCAGCACCTATTCAGCAGGTGGTTACTGGGCAGTCGGGGTTATTCACCCAGTACAATATTCAGAAGAAACCCATGACTGTGGGAGAATACCGACGTCTGGCTAATAGCGAGAAGTACGTTGGTGTTAAGTGATGTGCTTGTGAATGGGGGGGTTGTGTGGAAAGCCTTTCAGCTTAGAAACAAGCTAAAAAGAAAACACAGCCTTGTTAAATAGGCAGCATTTTGGAGGAAACTGCTTTTTCTTGACAGCTTACATGCAAAATCTCAAACAGTTTTGTGACTTGGTGGTTTTTGGTGTGTTGTAGATCTTTTTGTGGGAGTTGTCGTAGAAAGATTCTTCAAAGTCAGTATTTGGCTAAGAGTCTGCCTGGAAAGAATGGCTTAGGACTCAAAGAAGAGCTCTCGACATATTAATGGTTGTTGTGGAAATGTGTTTCTTTGCTTGAGGCAGAAATACAAGTATCTTGGAGTGCTAATATTAATAATATGAGCATCCTCCGGAGTGACGGGCAGCTTTGCAGAGCACTTTGGTTAGCTGAGACGAGCTGCAGTTGCATCCTTTTTCCAGAGTCGCTTTCCCAGAGCTCTGGAGTACCCTGGGTTTTTAACTCGAGCAGTACTGCAATCAACATTGAAATATTGCTAATACAGCAGAGACATGAGTGCTTTGCTGCCTTCTGCTGCCTCCATAATAACTTCATCCCCTGCATCCTTAGGACGGGGATGTAGTGCTTCACATAAGTGCCCATCCTTGTCAGTGTGCACTAAGAGATTCTGTAGAAAGATTTAAAAGGCAGTAAATTATATGAACCTGAGTAGGCTTAGAAATGAAATGTACCTTGAGTAACCTCCTGAGCATGCCTACTATAAAACGCAGGCTGCTTTCAGTTGTTTATCTGCCTGCGATGAGTGTTCCTGAGGACTTCTTACATCCTTATCTTTCCTGTGTTCTTATCAGGTACTGTACTCCACGCCATCAAGATTTTGAAGACTTGGAGCGCAAGTACTGGAAGAACCTGACATTTGTCTCACCAATTTATGGAGCCGATATCAGTGGCTCACTGTATGATTCAGTAAGTGAAAGGCTCCTTGTTTGTTTTATTTTAAATGTAGACACTAACTTCCTTATTGCTCTTTTCTCATTAAGGAACAGTAATTCACAATTTATTTGATTTAGCAACCTTAAAAAAAAGGCAAGTAATAGCATTGGTTTTGCCTCAGTACAAAAGTGTGACTAAACTTCTGATCTTCCCCAGAGATTCAGGACAGTGAAAGCTGTGAAAAGCTTAGTTTTACTAGAAAAAATGAGGAAAAAAGTGATTTAAACAAGTTCTTATGAAGTGTGTAGCCAAAATTTGTATATAGTTTTCAGGAAGGTTAAAAAAAAAAAGAACTGGACTGATATAATGATCTGCCTGGATATACGTGGTGGTATGCAGATAAAAGTGAGCTACTGATCCTGGTCTCTGTCATGCTAGGGTTTGGGGAGTTTTTTCTTTCATTTTTTTTAAAAGGGATTAAAATAAACATTTCTACTGAAACACCCTTGAAAGCCAGGAAAAAAGCTGCATTTTAAGGAACTGGATGCTTCATCAAAAATATTCTTTTGATTCTTCAACTAAAATATTTGCGTTTGGATTTTTTCTTTGTGAACAGCCATATTAGGATACAGTGCACTGCGTGGTGAATTATTTCAGTTGAAATTGTTTAAGCTTTTCCTTGGTGAAATTGCATCCTATGCTTAAAGTAATTCTCTTGTGGTTTCTTCTGCTGTAAATGATAAAGGTTGCTTATCTTCTTACTGTGTTCAGGCAGCTCATCTAAAGCAGTGCCCTTCCTCTGTAGTTTTCTTCTGAGTGGAAAGTGGCCTTTTTTTGGAGTGTTGCCTGATTGTCTGCAGTATAAATGGTGTGTTATCTAAAAGTGTCTTTGTATTATCAGTATGGTTTAATTTAGAATTGATTGGAATAAACGTAGATATCCAAGGTCTTCACAGCAACGGACATCAGAGTTATCTGTAGCGTTGGTGCTTGAGAGTGTCTGTGAGTCAGCGAAGGTGACATAACCAGACACAAACACAAGCTTTAGAAGTAGTTTCTGCAATGTTCTCATTATACACTGAGGGAAACACAAGCTGCTATAAGCAGAAATTAAATATAATATTAAATAAATAGATTGAGCAGCTTGAGTTTCATTATCTTGCAGTTACCCCAACACGCAGCATGAAGTTGGGATTGCTCACGTACCAGTGAGTTACTTGCGTGCCTAATAAGTACGCTGGGAAAAGGAGTGGGAGGGAGACTGTTTTCCTTTTGGAGGTTGTATTCCTCTTCAGGCAATCGCAAGGTCAAAGAATTCTGTTTCGTATTGAAGTAGAGAAAACCAACTATCACATTTAGAGCTTTTCTATTTATTGCTCTTCCTGTTTAAATATTGACAGTAACAAAACTGTCTCCCCTGCTCTGTCTGAAGCACTGAGCCACTTTGGCCACATTGTGTCTGCTGTTTCTCATCAGCTGGTACGTGGTCATCAGGTGAAGAATGCCTGGATAGGATATGTCATGGAGAGAAGTGTATCTACCCTTAATTTTTCTTATGTTTATTAGTAGAACAGTAACTTAATGGTAGGGTATCACATAGTACAAGTGCCTCATTCAGCAAGGAGCTGGTAATCAATCCCTTTGCCACAAAGTAGAGGTAACACATCCTTTTCGTGGTTATTGAGGATCATTAAAAGGCAGCTTTCTGGAAGCAGGTGGAATTAAATTAATGGAGATAACACTTGGATATCCACATTTTAAGACGTTAAAAGGAAGCTGTGGGCTGTTACACTGCTGTAGCGAGGCCTGATATGTTCCAGTACACAACATCTCTTTTGAATTACAGGATGTGGAAGAGTGGAATATTGGCAACCTGAACACTCTCCTAGACATGGTTGAACACGAGTGTGGCATTATCATAGAAGGTGTAAACACTCCCTACCTCTACTTTGGGATGTGGAAGACAACCTTTGCTTGGCATACAGAGGACATGGATCTCTACAGTATCAACTACTTGCATTTTGGGGAGCCAAAATCTTGGTAAGTGATAAAGAACTGGCAGATGGTGGCTATGTACCTCTACCTCCACTCAGAGACCACTGCAACATCCTTTTCTTCAGATTTACCTAATTCCATCAGGCCTACTTAGTCTCTCACTTCACAGTTTTCCCCTCTCCTACTCTGCATTTGAAAGCAATTTTACTGTTTTGTGCTGGCTTGCACAGAGGCCTAATTCCCGACTTTCTAGAAAAGTAGCAGAATTGGGGTGAATTGTTGACATTACAAGTAAAGCCACGACACCTGGGGCTTTTGGAAAGCTAATGCACAGGAGAGCACTCCCACTAATGTGGGAGAGCAAGTGGTGATGGGAATGTGTGGATGCTTCAGATGCACTTTAATAGAGAAAGATTGTTGTTCCTGATTGTGCTGTAGGCAGGAAACATCTGTTACTTTAAAATTTCTGTTATTTAAATATGCAAATGTGCTTACAACTCCAGGGACAAGGTAGGTCAAAGGGTTACTTTTTCATGGTCAATTCTTAGAATAACGATAAGCATTTTTCCACACTGTTGTTGCATGAATTGGTTGGAAATAACTTTCCAGAAGAATAATCAATAGATAAGGATGGAATAAAGAAGTTAGGAAATCTGGAATAAGTTCCCTAGAACCATTCTGTCTCCTTTTTTCTTAAGCCTCCTATTTAAAAGCGTAACCAGAGAGACTTAGCAACCCAGAAGAGCTTTGCTGAAGATCTTGATGTGACTAATAAATATTGACATTTGCGTGCAAATTAGAGCTTAAATGTCACTGTGAAGCTGCCGTCGTTGTGCCCTGGCAGTGGCAGACAAGATCTACCCATCTCTCTGCAATACGAGTCCCCGGTGACACCCAGTATCTCCAGGCTGTTGGTGCCTGCAGGCACATAAAAGCTACCAACAGCAAAGAAGCTGTAAAGAATGGGTACAGTGTTCTTTTGCAGCCTTGAAAAGGAGCAGAAGGAGGGGCTCAATCTGTAACATTTAGCTGTGTTCCTAATGTGAATTTTTTAAGTTGTTCCAGTGTGTCAGAAAATCTGTTTCCCCAGCACACCTGATTCTTAGTCTCCCTCTTTCAGGCAGATGCAGAAGGATTTTGCAGGATCTCTTCTGATACCTCTGTTACACGAGCTTGATCTCAAGAAACATATCTCTGGATTAGGAATGAAATGTGACACACTCTCATTTTAGATACTGTCAGTTTCCCCCTTCGTCTTCAGAAGTGGTTCATCCAAACCCGTTTCTGTTTGGTCCCTGTCTCCAGTAGATGGTGCCACCAGCACACGAGAAGCACTTCACTCTGCTTTGCCCATGCAGTCCAGTGATCACCAGCAGAGCCGGTGCTGTCTTTAGTGTGGCAGTCTCAGCACACGAGAATCAGCTGGGGTTATCGCTGAGGGTTCTCGCTTTCCAAAAGTAGAAATAAGAACAGATCATCTTGAAAAGTGAAGCTGGTTATAGCATGGAAATAGCAGCTGGTCCAAAAACTCTCACATTGTGAACAAAAGCTAGAGAACAGATGCTAAATGAAGCATACACCAAGTATTTGTAGCCCAACCTTAAACTGTGTTTAATTTTTTGTGCATCTTGGACACTTCATGTTGTTACTCAGGTGGTTTTTTTGGGTTGGTGATATTTTTGGTGGGTTTTGGGTTTTTTTTTTAATATTATAGATAAATGTGGATATCCACATACTGGATATCACGAGGATGATAAATGCATTGCATGAAGCTGTTGCCTCGTCTAAACAGTGGTTTTTCCATATGTTTGCTGTTGTGTCTGTGGGAAATACAGATTGTGTAGTAGAGAAACAACAAAACAAAGCTCCAGACAGTAAAACCTTAAACACCTTTGTGCAGCCTGTTTGTGTGGACAGGTTAAGAATCAGAAAGAAGGGGAAATTGTAGATGGAAAATTGTATCTGCCATATATTGGATCTTAGAAGTTCTTGGTAGCTTTTCTTTTGTCGAATCTTCTGAGGATTTTGGGGAGATGCTGGGGAACACCTGATATTCCCCTAAGAGAAGCTTCAGCTGTTCAAGAGCTCAGTCACTACTGTTTATAATTGAAATAGAGAAGAGTAATCATAAAATCTTCTTGTAAAAAAGAGGTTTTAAAAGATACTTTTTCCCCACTTAAAAAGGAGGAGAGGATTTTTTAATCCAGCCATTCTGGGTTTGTACAGTTCATTTATAGTAACTAGTTGCATAAACCTTACATGGTTGGGGGAAAAATGAGGATTTTGAGGACAGACCATGTTTTGGGCAAAACGTTTCCCGATTCAAGTGAGTTTTCTTATATAGATGACAGTATGTAACACAAAACTCGATGTATTGTGACAGGATGCCACTACTGGTTTGGCAGGCCTCCCTGCTGTTCCCTTAAGCATAAGGCAAGAGTATGCCACTTGCCCGAGTCATTTCTTCCTCGTTCTTCACTGTGACAGCTTCTGTTAATGAGTTTTCAAGCTTTTCTGTGAAAAAGCATTGGCTTCTGAGGAGGAAGTCTGGATAATATCCCTGTGAGCAGACCTGGAACTTTCCAGGTACCGGAGCAATCGCCCTTGCAGTCATCCCAGAGCTCAGCTGGGGGAGCTCTTGGTCTTCAGTGACGGAATTCCAGTGGTGCAGCCCTGGCTTTACTCAGAGATGGCTAAAATGTGAGTTCTGGGTTTCTGGCACCACCTCTGTGGAAATTTCCCAGCTTCCTTCATCCTTTTTATAGACTCTTTGACTCTGACAGTGATCATCTTAGAAGCACCTCGGGGAATAGCAGGAGTGTGGAGAGTTACGAAGTCTACCAGTTTGGGGTTGAGCTCTAAAATAAGAGGCAGAGTTATTGTTTGACTGTCAGAGATATTTATATAGTGAAACCAAGGACTCTGTATATTGGTAGTATTCTGCTTCAAAATTGTCTGTTAAAAACCATAACTCTCTCTTCATGTCTCTCATAAATTATCTTAGGCTACTTTAATTCAGGCTGTGCAACCAAAGCCCTGCTTTGCTGGGCAGTGTATGGGAGTGGTGAGAAGTCACCAGCTCTGTTTCCATACGAAAACAAGGTGAGAAAGGATTTGGGCTTTCTGAGGTTGCCTCCCAGACCACATTCAAGTGGGTTTTGCAAGAAATCTTCATGTTTATTTGCTGTGGAAGAGGTGAAGTAACTTCCCAACGAGGTCTTAATGATATGTTCAGACTGTGAGGAGCCACCTCAGTGGACAAAGGTAAGTTGAGAAAGGAGGATAGTTACTGAGGTATTATTTTGTGGAATTTTGGGTTATACCTCTTATAAAACAGGTGCTCTGGGGCCAGGATTAGAGTGAAAATAAATGCCTATGACTCAGTAACTGAAGATGGCTCCTTCGTTCAACCTGATGAGCTTCTGCATGGTCACGCAGCTCCCTGATGAAGTGTGTCCCTGTCACTGCAGACGAGCCCTGCTGCCAACACTTTCCCATCCTTTCCTTTCCATGGCAGCGTGGAACGGGCTGCAGCGATGTGAGGTCTCTGCACAGTCATGTCACCGGGCACGCAGGTTAAGAACCAGTTCAGCACTAAGTGAAGTACTTGAGCAGCCAAGGGTCACGCAGTGATGAGGGAGAGGAAAGGGGGTAATAGAAGACAGCTTTTTTTCCTGCTTTCAGTCTCATTTAATGATTTCTATTGCCTGTGGATTGCAGTGCATTTATTTCTTAAATTCTGTCTTGTCGTACCAAGAAGAGTGAGCACTGCTATGTGTTTTAGCTGTAATGGTTGCTGCAGCAAAGGCACCCACGCTGCCCTTTTCGGGTTGTACTTGCCTCATATTGAGATGTTGATTTTTCCTGATGCGCCGTTTCCCAGGCGTATGTATCTGGTCCACATTGTAGTCGCACCGTTGTTGTTTTTAGCTGGAAAATTGGTCTGACAGGGCGAGGAGGTAGCAAGGAAGGTGTGGGCACTTCCCATCAAACACACCAGGGTCTGGGAGCTGTTGTGTGACTCCGTGCTGAGCTTTTTGGGCAGGGAGCTGCCACATTGAGCCTCTTACTTGCTTGTTTCCCAAATCACAATAGAATGTCCCTCTCCCATTAGTAGTTTAATTACAACCTTTTCATAGTCTTCAGTATTTTCAAAAGTTTGAATGCATTTCATTTCGCAGCCTTATATTAAACCTCTTGTGGTAGGAGTTTTTACTGTATCAATTATACATATTATGTATAATTACCTTATACATTCATATGTCGAGATGTGAAATAGAGCATATTGTCAAGCAATGCTAACAGGAGACTGATTTTTATAATGACAGAGGCAACAAAACTGAATGCGAAGCCCAATACTTCATGGTTATTATGGCATTTTATTGAGAGGCGAATGTGTCTTGGCTCTTGCAATTTCAAAAGTGTATTTTTAAACACCGAGGTGCTCCACCATCGCCTCGTTTCATCTCTATAAAAACATGCAGTTCCTACCTTGAGGGCTTCCTGTGGTAGGGAAGTGCCGAAGGAAGCTTTAGATCTCAATAATGTGAATTTGATGGATACACTGTGGCGGTGTAACGTCTCTATCTTGTTTTGTCAACGCTGTAATGCCCGTCTGGGTAATAAGGTTGTTTTTCTGGGATATTTTGTGACTGATCTGGCTGTACAGCAACAATATTTCATATACCTGCTCTTAAGTACTAATGGGATGTATTCTGTCTTTCCGAAACTGCAGGTGTTAAAGCAGAGTGACACTGAGGACGGTAATTGATTTTATAAAGTGTCCCCGTTACCTTATCATGATGGATGTTTAATCCCCTTTAATTAAAACAGGGAGCCAGCTTTAGCTTTTAAGTTATATGGTCTCCTCTCCAAAACACTCCCTTGCTGAAAGTGGATCATGCCTAATCTGTTTGACTTTGATATCGCAAAGTACACTTTATGCCAGAGCAGCAGTTTAGGTAGAATTAAGGACAAATTACCAAAGGAACTTTAAAATAATATGATTAGTTGAAAGCGCTGGTCACAGATAACATTACATTTTAAAAA